ACCCTGGTGATCATCTAGTCCAACTCCCAATGCAATGCAGGAATATGCAACTGTCCCATATGGGGATCAAACTTGCAACCTTGGCATTATCAGCACCATGCTCTAACCAACTGAGCTGCATATTACTAGTCCAAAATTCCATCCTTGTTTCCTTCTGTGAATTGCTGGCAGCCATGGCATTGACTAGCAGGTTCCTGTAGACCTTTTCTTGGTCCCACCAACATCAGAGGCACGGGTTGGTGGCATGCCCTCCAACATCCCCCAGGTGAAAAGAGAGACATTTCTCACTTTCCCCAACTGACCCTCCTTGACCCCCCCCCCCCATTTTATGCCCCCTGCCCCCCTCAGAGCATATCCACAACCACTACACCAATGGGACACAAGACACACATCCTCTGCTGTCCTGAGAAAACCCCTTAATCCCGATTTGATTTTTCTGGTAGATTTGCAAAAAGAAAAAGAAAAAAAAACCAGTAAATAAATTTTAGAAAGGGGTGACATTAGAAAGGGGCAAGATTGGATGCGGACACACAAAGCATTTTTTAGAAGAAGAAGAAGAAGAAGAAGAAGAAGAAGAAGAAGAAGAGCCAAAAAGAAAGACTCCTTTCATTCTCATCTGCTCCCCCTTTCTTCCTGCCCAGGGTGGCCCTGCACTCCCCCTGCCCATCAGAGACCAATGTGTCACACACAGCAGGGCCTCTGCAGTGGCAGCCTCTTCTCCTTCTCCTCACCCGCCCTCCAGCAGCTGCTATGAAGTGTCCAAGGGAGGAGACTGGCAGCAGCAGCCATGGAGAAGCCACGGAGAGGCAATGGGGTGCTCTGTCAGCTTAGCTTCCTTCCTGAGCTTGGCGGTGACAGAACTGGTAGGGGAAATAGGAGCATTCTGGGATCAAAACAGGAGCTGGAATAGCTTTTGTACTTCTCGGACACTTGGAGGGTATGTGGTGGTGACATGAGATTGAATCTTTTGATTGGCTGCTCCCAGATTGTGTAATTCCCTCCCAGGAGAGGTCAGGCTGGCTCCCTCTTTGCTATCCTTCTGCTGGCAGGCTAAGACAGGCCTTATTCAGAGAGGCCTTTGAAGCTAAAGTGCAAGCAATGCTGATCACTGGACTGCTGTCAGGGCAAACTGTATTTTAATTCCTGGTTTAAAATGGGTTTTTTGATGTATTTTAAAGCCAGTGGATCAAGGGAGATGTGGGCCACAGGGTGAGATTCTTAGATTTAGTTTAGGGTTGTTGTTGTTGTTTTAAAAAAAGACTTTTCCCATTAATTCTCTTTGATTTTGATCAAAAGGTCTCTTTTGTGAACTTACGTTCTAAGAAAGGGAGGAGGAAGGATGGAGAGAGAAAGAGGCAAGATTAGAAGGGTTAAACGCATCTCTCCCCCAGCTCCATCGCAGGCAAAATTTCTGTCTCTCAATCAGTAATAGATTGCAATCAGATGAAAAGGTGCTGCTTGCATTAAACAGATCAGATGGAAGCAGGCGGCAGGAGAAGAAAGCAGGGGGAGCAGGATGCTCAATCTGGAAAATTTATGTCCGAGATCACAAAACAAAAATAAAAAGCCACTTCCTTTCACCTTGCAGTTACCTCTCCAAAGAGCACCATGCCCAGTGGCTCCCAAACTCCTGCTATCAGAAGAACTATTAAAAAGTTAGAAATGGAAGCATATGCCACCCATCCATTGAACCTTGTCTATGTTCAGAATGGGCACCAGGAAAAACTGGCAGGTTGCACAACAACCCAGCCACTCTGTGCCTGAAGAAGCATGCCTCTTTGCGGAAAAGAGGCAAGCCCAGAACAGGGACACATGCAGAGGGACAATGGAGCAGCCTCCTCTCAGGGTGGTGAATTCTACTGCCTCCCTGCACCAGAATGATTGAACGAAACAATCACATCCGATGCAACAACACAGCAAAACGATCCAGTAGTCCTGGTGGCTGATTAGGAGAACAGTGAATCAATCAGAGGTGCAGTGGGCAGCCTCAGATGTGATTGCTTGGACTCCTGTGGCAGGGATCCATTCTCAAGGTTAAAAGATAAGGCAAAGAAACAGGGGCAGATGTGCTTACCTATGCTCAGATTGTTGCAGACAGAATAAAGGCAAAACAGTGAGTAAGCATTAATGAGGCCCTTCACACAGGGCCGGATTTAGGTTTGATGAGGCCCTAAGCTACTGAAGGTAATGGGGCCCTCTATACGTCCAGCTGTCCTTTGTCAACAACAAATTGTCACTGTTTTTTGTTTTGAATATATGCTATATGGTAATTTATGGATAGGTATCTAAAGCCATTTGCATATAACAAAATATGTATTTTATCAAAGTAATTGTTGAACTGAAATACAATTAAGAAGAAGTTTATTAATAGTGAATTTGGGGGGGGCAGCGGCAAGAGAGAGTGGGGCCCTAAGCTATAGCTTGTTTAGCTTATACGTCAATCCAGCACTGCCTTCACACATCCTTTGCGTATGGGTTTTCACATGAGCACCAAGGTGGAACTTTTGTGGGCCCATTATTAGGGAAGCCAGTGTCAAATACGCAAGAATATGACTACAAAACTGGGAATAACCAGTTAAAGCGGAAATTAATGGCTGACTGTTGAAGTGAAAAAAAAATCTACATAAGGTACAAGGAGGGTTCTGCGTGTACAGTAAAAAGGGGGATTGTGTAAATTGGATTTTATGGACTGTGATTGATTGTGAGATGGTGGGGTGATGGGGTGGCAGAAAGTGGTTGGTTAAAAGATGGGGAGCTATGATGACATACGTTTTGCCTAATGGAAATGCCCTCACAGACTCTTGGAACTTTCTCCTGTGACACATTACTGGCTGGGAATTTGGTCTGAGTCTTCATACTTGAACCCGCAAGGTGAATTTCTTCCACAGCACCAGACCATTCACCCATCTTCTCTACCAACCAGTCTTGGTCTCCTCGCCCGCCTTTGCAAGTCTCTCAATCACTATTTTTTTTAAAGGATACTAATTTTCTCTTGTGTGCCCCCCCCCATTTAATTCTCCACTTCTTTCAAACACCATCCAATGAAGCATCCAAATTACATCCAAATACCCTTTAAAAATGTTGAATTATGCAATTAAGAGCAGCGTGCTACAATAATAATGAGAAAAGGGAAGGGGGAGAGCCATTTACCCAGAACACACTGTGGACTGAAGCAAGAGCTCTTAGGTATTCTCCAGGAAAAAGAAAAGGAATAAAACTTTACACCTAATTTGAGCTCTCTCTCCTCTTTGCATCAAAGCAGACCCTCAAAACCACTTTGTTGCAACCATTCTGGGGCCTGCAGAGGAAAATGAGCTTCAACATTATCCCCCCCCCCCAGATCAGTCAAGCTTTCCTCCTCACTCAAAGCTGTTTCACGCTTTAAATGCCATCAACTGTAAACTGTAATTGTGAGATGTTTGCTTTGTGCATTTTTAATATTGGTGCATTTCATGATTTGATGAGTATTTTAGGATTTGCTGTTTCCAGGCTTGTGCGTAACTCAGAGTATCACGCTGCAAAAAAAGGATGGGTATACATACAGGCTATTTTTATTTATTTCTAAGAAGAACTGCAAATGGCAACAGGACACAGGAACATGGAAAACTGCCTTCAACTGAGTCAGACCATCAGCACATTGTCTCCACAGATTGACAGTGGCTCTCTGGGTTTTCTCACAAATATGGAAAATGCACCCTTGGATCATTCACTATCCTTGTGAACTACAGCCCTTCCCAAGGGAGAATTTTCACATATATTACTCTCACTTGATGACTGCAGCATCAGGTGCTAACTTGCAAGGTAGAACAACCCATTCCAAATCAGCCACCACCAACAGAACCTTGGTGTCACCTCATTTCCACTGATCCCTCAACACATTTCCAAGGAATCATATTCACATATTCAGTTCTGAATTGTCACATGTTTAGTCAAATCAAAGTACATAGGAAACATTCATTCGTGAACTGGTATATTTTAGACTTACAGTGATCTGACATTCGCCAGTGTCCAACCCTGATCTTTCCACCACTGTGCGCATTTCCATTACAGTGGTACCTCGTGTTAAGTACTTAATTCGTTCTGGAGGTCCGTTCTTAACCTGAAACTGTTCTTAACCTGAAGCACCACTTTAGCTAATGGGGCCTCTAGCTGCCACTGCGCTGCTGGAGCACAATTTCTATTCTCATCCTGAAGCAAAGTTCTTAACCCAAGGTACTATTTCTGGGCTAGTGGAGTCTGTAACCTGAAGTGTATGTAACCTGAAGCGTATATAACCTGAGGTACCACTGTATATAGGGGCGCAGGTGGCGCTGTGGGTTAAACCACAGAGCCTAGGACTTGCTGATCAGAAGGTCAGCTGTTCGAATCCCCGCAACGGGGTGAGCTCCCATTGCTCGGTCCCTGCTCCTGCCAACCTAGCAGTTTAAAAGCACGTCAAAGTGCAAGTAGATAAATAGGTACAGCTTTGGCAGGAAGGTAAACGGCGTTTCCGTGTGCTGCTCTGGTTCGCCAGAAGCGGTTTAGTCATGCTGGCCACATGACCCGGAAGCTGTACGCTGGCTCCCTTGGCCAATAAAGCGAGATGAGCGCCGCATCCCCAGAGTCGGTCACGACTGGACCTAATGGTCAGGGGTCCCTTTACCTTTACCTTTAAGTCAGGACAGACAGACAAAGTCTGAGATTGGTCTTTTCCATGCCATTCATTATTTCTGTCCTATCAGTCTAGCAAAAAAACCACACCTTGTACCGAAGTTCAATGGCAAACGGATGAAAAGCAACCATTTCACCCCGACTTTTGCTTTGAGGCTTTGGCTTGCTTTGAACACAGAGCTCAAAGTGATGTTGCTCAGTCACACTTTGATGGCCACGTAGGTGGAAGCTGAACAAAAAGCTCCCAGGAGACTCAATGAACTCAAAGCCCCCTGCAGCTTTGGCATCATTTCCTCTTTGCCCCATATGCCACAGCCAAGGGCTTGCTGATATAACAACTGTGCTCTCGAGGAAGAGCCATAGCTCAGTGGGAGAGCATCTGCTGTGCATGCAGAAGATCCCATGTTCAATCCCCAGCAACATTTCCAGGTAGGGATGGGCAAAGATCTGTGCCTGAAACCCCGAACCAAAAGCCTGACTCAGTATGAAGTAGCTTCCAAACATGGCATCTGGCACAGAATCCAGTAGCATGGGCAAGATCCCGAGAACTCTTGCTTTCATTTAAAATAGAACAAAAATGGTTCTAGTTCATATCATGACAAAATAAGTGAAATGGCTTAAGCCAGTGATGGCCAAACTTGGCCCTCCAGCTGTTTTGGGACTACAATTCCCATCATCCCTGACCACTGGGGTGATGGGAGTTGTAGTCCCAAAACAGCTGGAGGGTCAAGTTTGGCCATCCCTGGCTTAAGCTGTTTGCAAGCCAATTAACAAGAATATATCCTGCCACAGAGCTGCCATCACATAGATATCAGGCTCAATGGGAAGCATCTGTCCCCTGATCTTCATGACTGCTGCTAAGCTAGGGGTGCAGCCAGGGGCACAGGAAGAGGAAAAGGACCAGAGCTAAGTGGAAGAGTGTGTGTGATGCATGCTTTGAATAAAGGAGTTCCCAGGTGCAGTCCTTCGCACCTCTGAATTTTTTTAAAAAAGCAGCAATTGAGTAGAATATGGTGGGAAAGACTGACAGTCAAAGTGGACAGGAGCAGACCCTTCAAGTGTCCCTATTTTCCAGGAACAGCCCTGGATTTACAGAAGCTGTCCTGCTTTGTGATTTGATTTTGGAATGTACCGCTTTTCCTTAGGACACCCCTATTTTCATCGGAGAAATGTTGGAGGGAATGCAGTACTGGGCTAGGGCTAGATCAGGGGAAGAAGGAGAAGGTGAGGCAACAGTGACAAAGGTGTTGATGCTGGGAAACCCACCTCCTAGTTACAGCACAGGCTACAAGAAAACCATGAGCTTTATTGAGTGTTGGCTTTGCACTATGGCAGGGATGGGAAATCTCAGGCCCTCCAGATACTGTTGGACTCCTGTCCCCATCATCCAGTGTAGCCAACTCTCAGGAGTGATGGGAGTTGTAGTCCAGCACTGTATGGAGAGCTACGGATGCCACACCATTGCTCTAGCAGAAAATGCCTGTGTCCATGCACAGCACAGCATCCCGTTTTCATTTAACTGTAGTCCTCTGCACTCAGGAACATATTTTTAGGGCACTCAGCAGCAGTTGGACTCTGTAGTAGGGACCAGCAAATATTGGGTGCCTGACTCAGTAGCAGGGGTGCCACCCTGCATAATTGATCACATTCACACCATTTGAATGGCAATGCCCATCAACCGGGGGGGGGGTGCTGGCCCCATCAAATATTTTTGGGGGAGCAAAGGGACCTCAACCCCTAGGAGTTGGTTCTTATGCTCAGCAGTGGCTGGTACCCATTGGGACTGGTAGGGCAGAAGGCAGGGAGTCCAACAGTAGGTGGCGCCAGAGCCAATGACAGGCCAAGCGACCTGATGCTTGTTTTGCCCTCATCCTACGCTCTGTTGAATTCTACAAGCACCAGACACTGAAACTATGGAGGAGGAAGTTGACAGGCAGGACTGCCCCCTGAACTGGCTATAAGCAAAAAGACAGGCAGGCAGGAGCTGGTTGAGGGCAGAATGAGGTTTATGGGGCAGAGTCTCAATAGCCCTAATGGGCCATCCCCCACTGCCTTGACTTGCACAAGAGTAAGCTTCTTCTGTCAGTGCAAAGCCACCATTGGATACAACCTTATAACAATGCCCAATGGCCCTGTTAGCTGGGTGTGCATTCAGGGAAAGGATCATACATTGCTAAGAATAACAAGAGGCCGTTTTTATTTATTTCTGCTAGTCTGAATAAAGAAGGTGCTGAAACGAGGAAGACAAATAGAATATTGTGTTACAGAGAGAGATTCCATTTGGAAGAAGCGAGGACGGCCAGCTTCACCTATTCTTCCTATGAAATATATAGCCTCCCTGTTGCTGCCGTCTCCTTTATCTGTCCTCCCAACAGGGCAGAGCAAGAAAATAAATGGTTGTCTGTGCAATTTTCTTTCCAAACAAGAGATATTTACTCATGCACACTTTTATGCAAGAAATCAGTGGTGCGGAAGCTGACAGAAGGCCCTTGTGTAATCTGAAAGGAGTTCAGCTAGGTCTGAGTAGTTTTGGTTAAACTGTCATGCAGTGGGACCCTGTGATTAGGGATGTCTAAGGAATGTGATCTTTGCAAAGTCTGCTATGAACTGACTTGATCCACACCATCCACACATGTGTGGATCAAGATGTAGCTGTGCATTTGATTATGCCCTTCCTAAGGGAATCCATAAGGGATGTGGGTGGCACTGTGGGTTAAGCCACAGAGCCTAGGACTTGCCAATCAGAAGGTTGGTGGTTTCATAGAATCATAGAATCATAGAATCATAGAGTTGGAAGAGACCACAAGGGCCATCGAGTCCAACCCCCTGCCAAGCAGGAAACACCATCAGAGCACTCCTGACATATGGTTGTCAAGCCTCTGCTTAAAGACCTCCAAAGAAGGAGACTCCACCACACTCCTTGGCAGCAAATTCCACTGTCGAACAGCTCTTACTGTCAGGAAGTTCTTCCTAATGTTTAGGTGGAATCTTCTTTCTTGTAGTTTGGATCCATTGCTCCGTGTCCGCTTCTCTGGAGCAGCAGAAAACAACCTTTCTCCCTCCTCTATGTGACATCCTTTTATATATTTGAACATGGCTATCATATCACCCCCTTAACCTCCTCTTCTCCAGGCTAAACATGCCCAGCTCTCTTAGCCGTTCCTCATAAGGCATCGTTTCCAGGCCTTTGACCATTTTGGTTGCCCTCCTCTGGACACGCTCCAGTTTGTCAGTGTCCTTCTTGAACTGTGGTGCCCAGAACTGGACACAGTACTCCAGGTGAGGTCTGACCAGAGCAGAATACAGTGGCACTATTACTTCCCTTGATCTAGATGCTATACTCCTATTGATGCAGCCCAGAATTGCATTGGCTTTTTTAGCTGCCGCGTCACACTGTTGGCTCATGTCAAGTTTGTGGTCAACCAAGACTCCTAGATCCTTTTCACATGTACTGCTCTCAAGCCAGGTGTCCCCATTCTTTTTTTTGTGCCTCTCATTTTTTTTGCCCTAGTGCAATACTTTACATTTCTCACTGTTAAAATTCATCTTGTTTGTTTTGGCCCAGTTCTCTAATCTGTCAAGGTCGTTTTGAAGTGTGATCCTGTCCTCTGGGGTGTTAGCCACCCTCCCAATTTGGTGTCATCTGCAAATTTGATCAGGATGCCCTTGAGTCCATCATCCAAGTCGTTGATAAAGATGTTGAATAAGACCGGGCCCAAGACAGAACCCTGTGGCACCCCACTAGTCACTCTTCTCCAGGATGAAGAGGAACCATTGATGAGCACCCTTTGGGTTCGGTCAGTCAGCCAGTTACAAATCCACTGAGTGGTAGCATAGTCAAGACCACATTTTACCAGCTTCTTTACAAGAATATCATGAGGCACCTTGTCAAATGCCTTGCTGAAATCAAGGTAGGCTACATCCACTGCGTTCCCTTCATCCACCAGGCTTGTAATTCTGTCAAAAACGAGATCAGGTTAGTCTGACATGACTTATTTTTCAGAAATCCATGCTGACTATTGGTGATCACAGCATTCCTTTCTAGGTGCTCACAGACTGTTTGCTTAATGATCTGCTCCAGAATCTTCCCTGGTATTGATGTCAGACTGACTGGGCAGTAATTATTTGGGTCCTCTCTATTCCCCTTTTGAAAATAGGGACAACATTTGCCCTCCTCCAGTCTGCCGGGACTTCGCCTGTTCTCCAGGAATTCTCAAAGATGACTGCCAGTGGTTCTGAGATCACATCTGCCAGTTCTTTTAATATTCTTGGATGCAGTTCATCTGGCCCTGGAGACTTGAATACATCTAAACTAGCCAAGTATTCTTGTACTATCTCCTTAGTTATTCTGGGCTGTGTTTCCTTTGCTGAATCATTTGCTCCAAATTCTTCAGGTCGGGCATTGTTTTCTTTATCGGAGAAGACTGAGGCAAAGAAGGCATTGAGGAGTTCAGCTCTTTCTGTGTCCCCTGTTTGCATTTCACCATCTTCTCCTCTGAGTGACCCCACTGTTTCTTTATTCTTCCTTTTGCTACGGACATACCCATAAAAGCCTTTTTTGTTGCTTTTAACCTCTCTAGCAAGCCTGAGTTCATTCTGTGCTTTAGCTTTTCTGACTTTGTGTCTACACGTGCTGGCTATTTGTTTGAATTCCTCTTTGGTGGTTTCCCCCCTTTTCCATTTTTTGTACAAATCCTTTTTTAATCTTAACTCAGTTAAAAGTTCTTTAGATAGCCACCCTGGCTTCTTTAGGCACCTTCCATGTTTCCGTCTCATTGGTATTGCCTGACGTTGTGCTTTTAGTATCTCCCTCTTAACAAACTCCCAGCCATCATGAACTCCCTTTCCTTTTAGTATTACTGTCCATGGGATCTCACCCAGCACTTCCCTAAGTTTTATGAATCCCCGCGACGGGGTGAGCTCCCGTTGCTCGGTCCCTGCTCCTGCCAACCTAGCAGTTCAAAAGCACATCAAATTGCAAGTAGATAAATAGGTACTGCTCCAGCAGGAAGGTAAACGGTGTTTCTGTGCGCTGCTCTGGTTCGCCAGAAGCGGCTTAGTCATGCTGGCCACATGACCCGGAAGCTGTATGCCGGCTCCCTCGGCCAATAAAGCGAGATGAGCACTGCAACCCCAGAGTCGGTCATGACTGGACCTAACGGTCAGGGGTCCCCTTTACCTTTAAGGGAATCCATAAGTAGGACTTTAATCAAACAGCCCTCTCTCTCTCTCTCCCAAGTTGTGCCCCACAGCAACTGGTTCTCAGAGACATGCTATCTCTGATTCATGGCTAGTAGCCACTGGTAGCCTTACAATCCGCCATGAATTTATCTAACCCCTTTGGAAGACAGGCAAGGCAAGATGGTGGCTGTCACTTCATTTCATGGCAGCAAATTCCAAAGATTATTTTCCCCAATTCAGTGAGTTT